TGCTCTCCTGGCTGCAGGGACTATGCTCTCCTGGCTGCTGGGATGTGTCATCTCCCCCCAGCCCCACTCAGCACTCGCTCAGGGACGCTGCTGCTCGCTCGCACTGGGACGCTCTTTGCCAAGGCAAACCCCCCACAGCTCCCAGCTGAGACACCCCACGGGCCCCGGCAGCACTAAAAAGCTTTTCTGCCACCCACTGTCTCCATCCTAAAGTATTTTGCCACCTGAGTTGTGTCTTCCACATCAGAGCAGCCTTTGTCCAAGTCGTGAGCTCGGCTCCTGTTTTATCCAACAGGAGCTCACTTTTTCTGTGATTCCCCAGGATATAGTTAATTTTTTAATCCAGAGCTGCTGATATCAGGCTCAGCACAGAGGCTTTTTAATCACTTGACCTAGAATCATAGAATCATTATGGTTGGAAGGGACCTCTAGGATCATCAAGTCCAACCTTTATCCCAACATCTCCCTAACCACTACACCATAGCCACAAGTGCTACATCTACTCGTTTTTCTGAACACCTCTAAAAAGGTTCAAGCCTTGCAGTAACCTCCTGTCCACCTGAACCAGCCCTGACTACTTCCAAGCAGCCTGCAGAGCCTGGGGAGGGGCTGGTGGGGATGCAGGGAGAGCCCCTTTGTTACCCCAGCAGGAACACAACCCTCATGCCCGGCTCTGTTCTCTTCTCCCGACAGATTGAATTCACTGCAGAGCAGATCGAAGGTAAGTGCAGACCTGGGCTCTCCTTGAGGTGGCAACAGAGATGGGGAGTCCTTTTCCCAGGTAGTTTTTTGCAGCAGACATGAGAGCTGAGGTCCCACACATCAAATCCCCTCCTGGGGGAAAGCCCAGCAGGGCCCAGGAGCCCCATTCCCCCACCATGCTGCTCATCCTCCAGGATGGGCTCGTGAGGTGTCCCAGCAGGTAGCAGGTATGAAATCAGAAGGTTGCACCCCAAACCAGCATCGGGCTGGTAAGGGGCTGGGGAAGAGCGCTGGTGGGAAGGGAGGAGGGAGGAGGCAGGAGATGGAGATGGCTGGAGGTGAGCCCAGGGACTGAGCCAGGACTGCAACAGGCTGTCGGGAGCAGTGGATGGATCCTGGATCCTGGCTCTGCACTGCGTGCCCCAGGGAAGAAGGATAATCCCAGCCTCAGAGCCTGGCAGGGAAAAGGTATTTTTCCATTCCTGGTGAGAGGTGCAGCCTGGTTCCAAGTCTGGGACTGGTGTGGGAGGAGCAGCCTCTGGTGGTGCAGAGACAGCCCCAAGCTGGGGGCTGAGCTGGGGCTGGGATTTCTCATCTCTCCACGGCCAGCTTTAGTGCCTCTGCACAGACTAGGGAAGGGGCACGATCTGGGGGCAGATCCTGGTGGGAATACTGGGAGGAGGAGACTCAGTATCCTGCAGGCTCAGCCCCCAAACCAGCGTTTGAAAGGAGAAAAGAGATTCAGGGGGAATGTGAGCAGGTTCAAATGTGAAGATATTTGGATTTAACTTGCAGTGACATCTCAGAGCATGTGATGTGCTCCTGTGGCTCCAGGGAGTCAGGAGTGGGCATCACTGGGCACCCTCAGAGCAGTGCCTCTTGGCCCAGGGACTCGGAGGTGTCCCTCCCTGGATCCCCAGAGCCAGACAGAGGGATCTCACCCACAGAGATGGAGCCACTGTGAGGCCAAGTGGGATAAGAGCAGCACCCCGAGGTGCTGGGGAGGGACCATGAACAGGAGCACAGGGACACAGCATTGACATTGTGGGGACAGGCCCACGGGGTGGTGAGGCTCAGCAGAAGGTATAAAGATGCCAAGTAGAAAATGGAGCAAATCCAAAGCCCTGGGCAAGGATTCTTACCAAACCTGAGGCAATGCCTACCAGACCACAGCATCTCCATCACCACGTGGAGACCATCATTATCTCATCCCACCCAACTGCAGGAGGAGCAGTGACTCTGCTTTGGGTCAGCTGTTGCTGGACAGCATGAAGAAGATGGACCAGAACCTGGAATTCATTAGCCCCGTGGACAAGAGACTCAGAGCTCTGAGTGCTCACAATCAGCTGGAAAGGCTGATCACCCTGGGCAAGGCAACTGCTCAGGTGGACTTGCTGGCCTGGAGGCAGCAGGGTGAAATCCAGAAGTGTGTGGAGAGCTGCAGGAAAACCAGCACCTCACTGCCTGTGTGAGGCAGCTGGAGAAGCAAGTGCCAGCCACCAGCCTTGGGGTCCTTGGCTTGCCTGCAGAGGGGGAAGATAACTTCAAGGGGCATTTCCTGGGGGGATGATTTCCCACACCTTGCACCTCAACACCAGTGAGGAACCTGTTGTAGTGGAGAAGATCTTCTGGTTTGAAACGAGAGGCAGAGACCAGGCTCTGAGCAGTGCAGGCACTTGTAGCCAACACTGGAATTAGAGAGCGAATCCAGCAGCAGGTCAGGATGCTGAAAAGCATCATAACACAGAAGGAGAGCGATCCTTAAGTGTTCCTACTTTAGGCCTCCTTCCCCCAGGGAAAATGTAACACTCAATAACACAATAATTTATGGGAATGAGCTTGGCAAGGAATCTCCCATACCCTTCCACACAGGGCTGGTGTGACATGTGGTCTGCAAGGCTGGAGTGGACATGGTCACCCCCAAACACGAGCTCCACCACACTGTGTCTGCCTGGCTGGGGCTGGGGGTGGCAGCAGGGTGGACAGGGCATTGTGGGTGCCATGGGGGGTGCAGCGGGAGGGTCACGGGGTCCCCAGGAAGCTCGGGTCAAGAGGGGTAAGAGCAAAGGGGATGTTCTGCAGCAGAGGCACCAGCCTGCACCTAAAAAAAAATCGCCACCGGCGTAGCCCGACCCTGCCCCTGCAGCTGGGGGGAGTGGGTGCAGGAATCCCAGCAGGTCACCCAGCCAGCTCTGCACGGGTGGTGAAACCTGCTGGGGAAGCTGGGCGACCCGCTGAAGGAGGCTGG